AGCTGGATGTGAAGTCGACGACGAATACTGGGGAGCTTACCCTTCAGCCACGATCGCTTGTTGTTCGCCTTAAGGTCGCGGAGGAAAGGCGAGTGTGTTGGGGTGCACTGTGTGGTCCTCGTACTCGATGCCGTTGGTGTCGCGCAGTTTGATGTGCGGGATGAAGGTTACTTTTGGTGGGGCATCTTCATCAAACTCTTCGTCGCTTTCCTCGGCATCCCGGTTTACTGCCCCGGATGTCCCGGCTGTTCCGTCCTCATCATCGTCGTCGTCCTCTTCCTCCTTGTAGTCGTCTTCGTTCCCGTCGGATTCGACCTCAACCCTAACTTTCTTGGAGAGCCTACCCTTTCCACGCCCGTTTCCTAGGGTGTTCCCATCCTGGTCGGCATCAGATTCCGACCCCGCCTCAAAATACTTGCTCTTTTGTCCTGTCGAGCTGACGCGTAGTGATCGACGACGAGTGGCGGGCGCGTCGGCAGCTGCGGAAGGCTCTTCGGCTGCCGGTGCGGATTTGCGCTTTCGGCCAGGCATGATGGAATTCGGTTTATCTTCAACACACGAATCTAATACGGCATTTACGTGAAAATATTCGATGTCCCTTGATGACGTCGACACGTACAACAAGCGCGGAGAGCGGCAGCCATTTGGCGTTTCTCGCTCGCGAAAGCACGTGATGATATTGGAGTTAATTTAATTATGTCAGCAACTCTTGCCCTCTGAGCCCTCCCTCCATCATCACTTCATCAGAAGACAAAAGTAGACGCTCGCTGGTACGTGGCGCTCTTTTGGTATTCCCGTAATCTTTATTTTTGTAGAGACAGCCAAATTCTCCATCTACAAGTTGAGCCAGTTTAGACCCTCGATAGGGCTGTCTTTGCTTATAATTCCCCATGCTTGCCTGGCAACCCTTGCCATGCTCAGACGAACGTTGAGTCCACTCGTCAGGGAGGGATCGAGGCCCTTGGCCCTTCTTTTACTTGATAGAGCACCTCCATGTTCGGGGGGGGGGGGGGGGGGGCACGACATCTCTTGGTTGCTAACTGCTCTCCCAAGCATATTTCCTCGATTCTCACATAGGACCCGGGAGGACCACATGCAAGCCCGCCAACAAAGATGCGCGGGGCAAGATCGCCATGTATGACGTCTGCCTCTTGTGGGATCGGAACACCCGCAGACATGCAAGACATGATAGTTGCAAAAGCAACGTTGTATCCGGTTCCCAGCGGACTCCTGTCCATGAATTCCCCACACGTTCGGGGCCGGCCGTCCCCGCATGAACCACACACACACCACACTCCTTCCCCACACCCATCCGATGCCCCTCTCCGACTCCAACTTTGACATGTGAGTGTGGAGGGTTGGAATGTGTAACTTTTTTATCACACGTATTTGTATTTCTGCAGAACACAGCACCCAACACAACACAACAACACTACCACTCTAGCCCACACACACACACACACACACAAACACAAACACACATACACCCACCCACATACCCACAACCCCCCATCAAAA